TTAATAAATATAATCTTTTGGCTTTAAAAATAAACTTCTCTAATGAACTGCTACAGTGAAGTAATATTCCACTTTGATACTGTTAGAAGTCTCCCTTCCATATCTTATATTACTTGGGTGTATTAAGAAGGCTACACCACTTGTAACAGTATAATAATTTCTTCTGATCTTATTAAATATCTATTAATTCTATTAAAACTAAAACTTATATCTATAAAAATATTAATAAAATACTTCTCTCTAATCATATTCTTCTACTAATTTATAAACAAAAATAATAATATTATTTACCAATTCGTTTTACTAATAATTTTTCTTCCTTTTAACATAATAATTTCTTATCCTCTCTTAGCTCTTCCAACTCATATACTCTTAATATTCCTACTCCAAATACACTACTTAACTCTAACTTACTTAAAATATATTCTCTTAATACAAATAAACTTATATTATATTTAAAACAAACTCTTATTTACAACTTTATTATTGAATCTAATACTGAAATTTTTAGACTTTCTGAAACATATCTAAAAATCAAAGATGCTAAATTCTTAAAGCTCTTCAAAGACTTAACAAACTATATCAACTACTAGAGTAAGTTATCTAACTCTAGACAAGGAGATGTAGGAATATATTTATACAATAATATCTTTAAATTTGTTAGTAAAATTCAGAAATACAAAGTATATATTCTATCTATTGATCTCTTATTTAATTCAACTCTTATATGATTAATACAAACTTATTTTTCTATACAAGAAAAACAAAAACTTAGAAAAGAAATTTATAATTAATTAATTTCTCTAATTTAAAATTCTAACAAAAAAATAATCCCTATGGATAATTTGAACTCAACACCAAATCCTAAAATAGATTACTCTCCTTCTAAAAAATCACATCTTTTTGAATCTTAACTAATTAAATACAGTCATACCTCTTTATAATCACCTCCTTTATAATCACAACCTCTATAAAGTCACACTAATTTATGTCCCTAACTTTTTAGATATCAAATTCCCTTTTTATAATAACAATATATATATAATCACTATCACATATTTTTCTATAACCAAATATTAAATGTATATAGTAATTTACCTTTTTATAATCACAAATTATGTGAGTTTCAATGCTCTGAATCAATGTTTACTAATCAAAATTCAAGATCTAGTATATACAGAGTAGCACTTATTTCATCAACGCTCATTTTACTGACTATTATTTCACTGAAATTTTAGTCTGATTTAGAGTTAGGGTTTAGCTAGTTTTATATTTTCGGTGAAATTATTGTCAGTGAAATAATATGGACCTGTGTATATGTAGTAATACTGTAATATGGTTTGCAACTTGCTATTATACAAAACTAAAAACATAGATTTGTAAATATAATAAAGTATCATGATTTATTATATAATATTAATTGTTTTATGCGTATTCTTAATTTATTTGTATAAGGTAAATATCAAACTTTTTTTTAGATAATCTCAAATTTAAGATGTGAAATTGCGTAATGTTACAGTAGAAATTTTTAATCATGAATCGTATATTGAAAAGCTTGTTAACGAAGTGACAAAGTGATCATTATTACGAGATCAGATGACATATAGATTATATGTAAGTTCATGTTTATCCTTTTATGGAATAACTTGGTACGTTAAAAAAGTTCTAGGCTAGAACTCATACTCTGTTTGAATCTAAGTATTTTTAGGAGTAATACTGAGATAACATATGAATATTCCGAATTTGTTTGTTTATTAATTGAGATTAAATAGTATAGTAATTACGATTATAAGCTAAAGAATAATAGGGAGTTTTGTATAGGAATTGTAGCATAGGTTAGGGAGAGTTGATAATCAGTTAAGGGATGATGTATTTAAATGATAATTCTTTGAATAGATATTTTTATCTTTCTGTTCGCTATCACTTACCTAGTAGTTAGAGCTAGCTTTGTCACTTTCCCAACCTACCTGATTCAAGATACTATAAAGAGAGCTCTGAGGTTGCAGAGACAATGCAAGAACTTAAACTAACAGGCTCCATAGCTGCAAAGGCAGTGCAAGAACCTTATAATTATAATTTAAAGACTTAAGACCCTTAAAAGATAGGTAAGTTGGTATAAGGACTCTATAGCTGCCTAACAGTTAAAAGACGTATTTGGCTCTGAGACTACAATAGCAGTGCAAGGACCTTTTTTGTTAGTTTTCAGGCTCTACGTCTGTATTTGCAGTGCAAGGACTTTATGTTCTCAAGTATTTGGCTCCACGGCTGCATTTGCAATGCAAGGACCTGGCTTATGTTTCAAACTCTCTTTCAAAAATTATTATATTCTCCAGTCGATTCTCGTCATAGCTATGAAAATTTCACAAAAGAAACCCTAGAGTTTAAAGATATACTGTATTTATTATAGCTGAACAGTAGTT